TTTAACGTTATTTTTATAACGGATACTTACACATATGATGAGCAAGTAGATATGATTTTAGTTTATGGCCAATGTCAATTTAATGGTTGCAAAAGCGTTCGAGTCTCTATAGAGAAAAGTTTCCTAATCGTCGAGTGACAAATCACCAAACGTTTGGAAATATTGTAAAGGTGCATCCACATCAAGCGAACTCCGAACAACGAACGTTTGTTGTTCGTTTGTTCAACATTTGCAAGTTTGTACACACTAAGCACACGAATAACAAATCTGGCCACACCAAAAACCGATTTTCTTTGATGTACCGCTCTCGGAGCGAACACATGCGAAGGCGAACCAAATGTTTGATTCGCCTGTGTATTAACGTACATATTGGTCGAATTCGCTTTCGGTGTTCTGCATTCGTTCGCTGTTCGGCGTTCGTTCGCTTGATGTGTATGCATCTTAAGACGTGTCAGGGAAACAGGTAGCTTGAAACCGAAACACACAGACCGTGGATGTCAACGTACAAGGCGAACTGTAGAGTTGGAAGAAAGGGTTCTTGGAAGAGTGGCAGAAGACCCTAAAATTAGTACAAGGCGCTTAGGAAATCAACTAGAAGTCTCTAAAGATGATGTCCATAGGGTAATAAAAGAACATTTATTACACCCATACCACCTTCAAAAAGTGCTTTTACCTGTGGTTCACGAAATGCGTTTGACTTTCTGCCAAGTCATCCAAAACGAAAGAATCCACGACCCATATTTTAGTAGAAGGATTTTATTCACAGATGAGGCAACGTTTATCAGATCTGGTATCACTAGCATGCGTAACAATCATGTTTATGCTGAAGAAAATCCGCATATGACCACAGCAGTCCATCATCACCATCCATTCAAAGTCAATGTTTGGGCTGGAATTATTGGCGATAACATCATTGGACCGGTAATAATACCAAATCGGTTAAATGGTGAAGTTTATTTAAATTTATTAAGACAGTTGTTTAAATAATATCTGGGTTTCTCTGGGTTGCACTGGTTAAAAAACTTCTTTCGGTGAAAAATACCTTATTTTTATTTGTTTGCAACAGCCAAACATTAAAAGACGTGCGTTCGAGTTGTGAATAATTATTTTTATATATTTTTTTTGTTTTTGTTTGTTATCGCGTTGACGACGAATCAATTTTTACGCCGTGCAACGGATAACTTGATAACGTGAGGGTAAATATATATAATAAAAAATATATAATTAATAAAATAACAAATAATTAACAACAGTCGTTACCGGATTTGTTAGAAAATTTACCTTTATTACTTCGTCGCGATATGTGATTCATGCACGATTGTGCTCCGCCACATTTTACGATGGCTGTTCGGCAATATTTAAACCAACCGTATCCTGGTCGATGGATTGAAAGTGGAGCTGATGCCCTAATAAAATGGCCAGCAAGATCACCAGACTTTACACTTACTTTTCATTGTTTTTTCTGTGGGCATTGAAGTCAAAAGTGTATGCCTCTACAATTGATAGTGAAGAAGAATTACGAAGAAAAATTTTGTTATCATTTAATATATTAAACAATGGCAAAACAATAGACAGAGTGCAATTTAACTTTTTACGACGAGTAAATTTATGTATTTTGAAAAACGGTGGTCATTTTGAACAATTTTTGTAAATATTATCTACTTGTTGTGTTTGTATTTGTTGTGTTTATTGTTACCTTTTGTTTATTAGAATTGATTAAAAGTTTTTCTTTCTAGTACTGAAACAATTAAATACGACTACGTTTTTTCCTAACACTGTATGCTTTGAATTATTGAATTCCCACTATTTCGATCAATTAATGATATTGTATTCACGTTAAACATAAATTGCAATTAGTTGAAATCAGTGCCAACTACGATGAGGTTGGCATTTAAAAAAATTGACTTTTAGGGCTTTTCTTAAGTTCAACTTTGATATTATAACTTGAACACACTGTAAAGGATTTAGAACATTACTGATCCTCCGATAATACATAACCACCACAACATTCCCAACACAAAATTTTTCTTTCCGGCGGTCAGAGTAGGTGATTTATAAATTATTGAAAGTAACGTTGTAGCTGACATTTTTGATTAAAAAAAATAATATCTCAAAAATGACACAACTTAGGTATAGGGTATGTAACATACAAGTGGTCTAAAATTGAACAAAGATTTCAAAAATGTAATAAAATACAAGGTGTTACATTTGAAATATGAAAATTGTCACCACTTCCGATGTAACCACAAATATCCGGAACCTGAAAATATTTTAGTTAAAAAGCTTGCATCAAACATCATAAGTCCTCAAATTTTCAAACCCCCACTTAATTTGGTTCTCTATAGGTATAGTTCTAATGGACGGTCGTCGTGGATGACCCTGTATAAGAAAGTGAATGTTGAAAAACAGAGTTAAAAACTGTAATAATTATATAGGTATAACACACCTAAGTACGACCATGCAAATTTTAGAACAAACAATAGATAGAAAAATAAAACCCGCAATAGAATAATAGGAAATAATACAGAGAAGAGGAATTAAAAAGCAAATTCTGAAGATTATAAAAGCTACTATGTACTAGTAATGAAAAACTAAAAATACACTACGTGCCAAAAAAAATGGCAGCACCTCGAAAAAGTTGAGTCACCAAGCTGAAATCTTAACAAAATAACTAGATGCATGTAAAAAGCCAGTGATAAAGACATCATTCGATACACAAAGTATTGCAAGTTTTTATACGGTTCTTTGCTGTATAACAAACAATCTGTAACAGAAATGTTAAAAACTGCATCACAAAGTAAATGCTATTTGGTGAGTGAATCCATGAATGGGACATAATATTTAGCGACGAATATCGGTGCTGTTTGTTGCAAAATGATCGACGGGTAATGGTAAGAAGATTCCGTGGCGAGCCGTACCCATCGAGGTTACGACGGTCAAACACCTGGTATTATGGTATGGGGTACCATATCCTTGAGGTATAAGTCGCCTCTAGCTGTCATTCCTGGCAGTTAAAATGCACACCGATACATCCACGAGGTTTTACAGCCCGTTGTAATACCCAGGCAAAACGAACGCCCTGGCATCATGGTCCAGGATAACGCTCAACCTCATGTCGCCCACAACTGTCAGAACTTCCTACACGAAGAGGGACTAGAAATTCTCCCGTGGAGCGTTCGCTCTCCGGATTTAAACCCGATCGAGCATGTGTGGGATATGAAGGGTTGCTATATAAGACGTTTACCACAAGCAGTAGGAACTTCGTCGTCATCATTTGATCATCACATTCAGAACACGCCTCGCAAGGTTAGAGAGTACGTAAACAATCGCGGGATGTAACATATTATTGACATAAATTGTTGGTATTTTTTTTTCAATTGTTATGATTTACTACTGAAATAAATACAAATTACTTGTAAACATTTCACGGTATTGCGATTTTTTTGGCACGTAGTTTAATAATCGAAAATACGAATATTGAACAAGAAAAGAGTTTTAACTACCTAGGGATTGAAATAGATACCAACTGAAATCATTATACTGAAAGGATACTGAAAGTATACAAATGGCGAGGAAGACGAAAGCTATAGTATACCGATCTGTACTAACTTTTGGTTTTGAAACATGGTTACTAATGAAAAGAGAGACCAGTAAATTGCAAGCTGTGAATATGAAATATCTAAGATGAGTGAAAGTACAATTCCGAGACGGGCGACAGAAATAATCTATGAAATTAATTCCAAGTGCGGCGATACTTCACACCCATTATGTATTAGTAGTATCGCCTGCAGTTTGCGGTTGCGGGTTGCAATCTGCTTTAAAGATTCGGAATTATACCTCAAAGAGAATCGAGGCGCCACAATAAAGCGAGCAGTTTCGTGTTCATATGATATTTATCACAGAGCTTCGGCCGTAAGCGCCCTCGGCTGCATCGAGCAAAATTTTGGACTCCTTGTTCTAAGTTTAGCCGAGGTCGAGGCTCTGTAATATGTTAAACACCTGTGGAATCATATAATATTAATTATAGTACCTCGGCCGCAAGCGATCTCAGCTCAATCAGAAGTAATCCTATTTTCTCAGTTCTAAGTTAACCCGATGTTGCTTACAGCGGAGGCTTTACAATAAGACGAGCAGTTTTGGTATTAATCACATTATGAAATTATCAATTTTTATTGTATACAACTATTTATTAAGGAATTAATTGTGAATATTAAATGGACAAAGTAAAAAGGAATATATTTTACACTATAAACACAAAAACAATTTAAATTTTATAAATCATTATAAGTGGATATCCACAATGATGTTTAGACGATTTCATAAATATTTAATATATTTATCAACACCGCAATAAAACGATAATAACTCTTAAACTATATTCATTGCAGTAAGTAGCGGTTTTAAAGTAATACGGTAATAGTACAAGGTAGTTAACTCAGTTCCCCATAGTCGTTGTAACTAGAGGGCCATTACATGCCTCAATTCGTTATATGCATATCAAAGCAATAGTCGTCTACAAAATTATGCTGGACCCCATGCGTGTGTAATGCATGTAACATTACGTTGATTGTGGTTAAGCAATCGATAGAGTTAAATTAGAACCGTTCAATATAGACATCAACAAATAAAATAAACGTTATGATCTCAAAATTCGAAATTAAAAAGAAAACGTTTATTTTTATCCAATTTATTTACTAACTTTTAGTTAATGTTATTACCTTCAACATCACGTAGTATCGTAAAAGTGCATTTACGATAATAGTTTTTCGCGTTCACTTATTTTTCCTTAAAAAAACTTACGATAAGCTAATTATGGTTCAATATTTTATATTCATAATCGATGAAATATTATTATAGGTAAACTACATTAATTTAAATTATGAATCATTACAATATTAATTCAAATGTGCTACTCGTGCGATGATATACGTGATATGTATCAGTAATGAAATAGTCTGTGATATTAAATTGAAATTTATTATAATACGATGCCATTGCAGTTGGACCTTTGGATGTAAAAATCCTTGGGGCTAGCCAACCACTGAGTGCGGCGAGAAGATACGATTTGCTGTGTCAAAGCTCAGGTTCAAGGCCTCCGGCTACGATAACGTGGTGGAAAAACGGACAGAGAATGGAAAAAAATAAAGAGACGGTGAGTTTTTCAATTTTCATTATTTATTTTTTAGTTCATTTCAACGAATCTTTTTAAATTTTAATTCAATTTATTTTTTACATATTGATACTTTATCATTTAAAGTTTTCGTTGATAAGATTAGAAATTGCAACTGCCAATCCATCTTTATAAACTTGCCAAACTTTCGGCTTTAACGATTATCCATAGTTTACCATCGAAAATCGCAATCAATCATTTTATACGTAAATTTCACTTTGCTTCAAAGTTTTACCGGTTTTCTGGCGCCCGACATAAAATAATAAAGGTTGTTTGAGCTCGGTTAACTACCGCAATTCACGCGAAATTGTAAAACGTTGACACGCACTCTATGTACGCGGAATCCAAATTAAGCTCTATTATTAAAAAAGCCCGGAACCGAGCGAGATCAGAGGACGAGAGAGGTGCGATGACCAATTGAATGGAAAATGCTGATTAAAATTTGAATAATTAATGGCAATAAATGAGGCAATAAATATAGATAGAGCTAAATTAAGCGGCTGGCCACTTGAAAGCTCTCGTTCAGAAGGTATAGAGAACTCGCCGGTGCGGCGATGACATCTAAGCCGAGAGTTCGAGCCCCTTCAAAAGGTTATTATAAACAAGCGAGAGTCCTTTTCAGTTTAAAGTTCAATTAGCCGAACACAATACGCTTATTAATTTCTTTTAAAAAACAATCCTTTAAGTATTTATTACCTTTCAATTGACGTGAACAAAAGGAAATGAAAAATACAATAATTTTCCGAATGGGTTATAACGAACAAAACAATTGCAACGCCGTGAATTATTAGTTCAATTATACTGGAGTGAAATTTGAGTTTATTGGTGCTGTGGATGAGTGAAGAGAACCCGGTTTCGAATTTACATATTTACCGATTGCACATTGGTCGTTCGATGAGACTGAGAGAGGGCAGTATGAGTGCTTATCCGCTGTGATGCCACGTTGCGCGAGAAACCAGTCGAATGGTGATCATTAATGATCGACGAGAGGTAGCTCAACAGTTAATAATTTATTTGCTATGGATTGTTCGCGTTCAATATTGCATGACTGTTAACTGCGAATCCTCGTATCGTCCGGTGAAGTGGGAACAATGGTGTCTGTTCATTAGATACTTCTTTTCAAGCCTCTCCGACCGCCACCGGGATTTTGAATGGACCTATCGCGTTCATATCCTCTAAATTGGACAGTCAGTTTAACGCATAATGAAGCGTTCATTACCGATAACGAATTACCATCACACATCGCTTTAAAAATTTTTTCATTACCTTTGTGATTTGAATAAACTAAAACCGATTTGATTAATATGTTAATTAATTACTTCGTTTAAAAGCTAGCAAAGGGGAAATGTTTTCAAACTGAAAATCGATGTAATTTATAAACTGCACATGGTTTATATATTATATTTTTGGATTGATTACTGGAGGGTTTCCATATAATTAATTGATGTATAATATTGTTGTCAAACATATCAAGTAAACAGAATTGTGACAATAATAGTCCGGGAAATATAGTTAATCAAAAAATTATAGCTGCATAATTAATAATATCCAATATTTTCTTTTTATAGCTTTTATTCCGGAGATTACCGTTTTAATTACACCATGATCATGATTTTCCCATGGGTGGTTATTCAAAAGCTCTATCATATCCAGTGAATAAACGAGTTTTTAGGAAGTTTAGAAATATCTTCTGGAATTTAACCAATAACTTCTGTAGTGCTGATCTTTCACCAATCTAAAATTCATCTCAGCATCACCATCATTAATTGCTATTCATCACCTTCTTCAATTTTTAATTTCTCTGGATCGGTTTTATCTTGCCTCGCTAAAGCTTTCCTCACTGGAAAATTTCTTTTAAATTCACGACGGACCGTGAGATCTTAAGTTATCCCAGCCCACCATTTCAACATTTTGTAAATAATTGTAGGACTTGCGTCGGGATGATGCAAACATTGTCCTTCTTTATCAATTTTTCTTAAAATTTCTGACCCTTCCAATCCCATCCAACAATCTTCACCGAAGTGTACACTTTTCTCAAGCTGTCTCAGCAAACATTCAACCATCACATGCTTGACTAAACGTAACGATGCAAGACGCACCATGGATAAGGCACTTTCTTGTGTTCTGTTATAACGTGACAATCTTGTCTCAATCTATATTTAATATTACCTTATCTATAACAGATAACAAAACATTTGCTTTCCAAATAAACTACTCCTACAACCACCTGAGTGCTTACTCACAAAGCATAGGAGCAGGTGTTTGTTGGCATTGTTTACGTAAGTAATCTAATAAAGCTCCTAATGGAACAAGTTCTGTGATCGTCTCGGTTTGGACAAGGTTATGATATTATGCTTCTAATCGTATGATGTGAGTACTCCTACGTTTCATTAATCTCTGGCCTCTACTGTTGTAAAAGGTATGTTTGTGATGTTGTTTACTCTTAGTCCACTTTTGGAGTAGAAGTCTATTGGAAGCTCTCCGTTTTCATTGAGTATTGTTTCGTCTTTATAGTTCCAATTTGTGTAAAGCCTATCTATTGTGTCTTGGAGCTGCTGATAGAATCATCCTTTAAAATACTTGAGAAAAACTTCAAACATGATTTTGAAAATACCAAGTTAATTAGGATCTTCAGAAACACTTCGAATTTGTATCAGAAATAGATTGGAAGATGACAAAATAAATGTAAGTGAGTAGTCATGTCTGAGCATTGTTCAAAAACACATTAAACTAATTTTTGATTATAGCAATGAAGAACTCATGTTCAAAAACACTTCAAATAAGATATAGAAGAAAATCAGAATATTACAAACACTTAAAACATGATTTTGATAACGCCAAGTTAATTGGGATCTTCAGAAATACTATAAATATATGTACGAAATTAATTGAAACATGGCAAAATAGATATAAAATACCGGCCTTACTATAGCTTTATACCTATATTTTTACCTTGGCTGCTGTACTGATATATTTATTTCACCAGACTGTCTTTCAAGCACCCTTTAATTATACTAGAAACCAATAATCCATAAGAAAATAAAAGTTAAGACTTATTACCAAAAAAAAATAATAATGTGTATCACTTACAAAAAGTGATCAGATTATTACAAAGCACATAACAAACAATTCCGACGCTTGGAGACCAGATTTACAACTTCAAAATTCTTCAAACAAATCACTGAATTCACATATTACATCCCTTGTGGTGGTGCTCCATACTACTGCAAAACGATATCCATTTGAAACCCCCCCCCCCGAATTTTCTTCTGATATTCTTGTCATTTGTGAAATTCTTTCATTTTGTAATAATCGCAAATATAATGTCCCTGTTGGGTTTTCATTCATAAAAACAGATCCCACGATGTCATTATCTACCATGCCAGCCGAAACATTTATGTTCTTTATGGAATTGGGTATTCATCTCACGATTCTGATGTGGGTTTGCGTCACTTTAATAACGCACGTTTTGACGATGAAATTTACCGCCCAAATAAAAGTATCACTGAAGCAATTTATCGAATTTTGCGAAGTTATACGCTTCTCTCAGGAATATCTTCTCTTCGTCAACCATTTTAATGTTATTATTGTTATTTGTTTGTTTTAATTAAATGGCGGCGCCAATTTTGACTCATTTGCTTCAGATTTTTTAATTCCTTGTATATTATGTAATTATTTATGGTACAGCAAGGAATAAATGACGAATAAATCATTAGTCACCGTTTTACATACAACGAACTCCATTCATATAAGAATTATAGTCACATTGAAATAATGAAGGAATATGGTGTTTATCGATTGTATGCTCTAACTATAATTCTGTATACGTAGCATCTGGAATAAGGATTTCATTGAAGAATAACTGAATGAAGAACTGCTATACATAACTGATAAGTGAATCAGCAAAGGGAAATACACACTGCATACCAGGCTTTCTGGGATATGCGCTCTGCATTTAATGAGTTGCCAACGCAAGAGGTCTTAACAGGATTATAGAAGAAAGGGACTCCCTCACAACTGTTGCAGGCGATCAGGTTTATGTTCCAGTGAGCAGAGGGAACGACGAGGCTTCACGAGAAGAACTCTAGCATGTTTGTGATGGAAAAAGGAGTTAGACAGGGGGACAGTCTATCCCCATTGCTATTAGTAGTTTTTATGGATGAAGTAGCGAAGACATGCAAGAGAAGAACAGAAACTTCGGTGGTCGGCAAGCTCAACCTCTGAGCTTCTTATCTGCCAAACACTGATATATGCAGATGATATAGTCCTCATCGCAGACTCAGAGAGGAAATTGCAACAGGTTGTACTCGAGTGGTCAGAATCTCTAAAAGAGAGGATCATGATGTTGAACAAGGTAAATAGTCAAGCTATGGTGGTGACGAGGACAGAAAAACAAGTGGATAACATCCACATCGAATGTAAGGGTCAACTTCTCACCCAGGTCAGCAACTATCAATATCTGGGCACCCCAATCGATCAGATGGACAACCCTACTGAAGAGGTCAGGAACAGAGCGGACAAGGCCATCAAGGCTTGCTCTGCCTTAAATCGATGTGTGTTTCGAAAGGATGAAGTAAGCTGGAAGGTCAAGAACCCTTGTCTTGGCCTTCCTTATAAATCTGTCATTGAACCTAACTTATCCATGGCAGTATAAGCTGCACCGCAAATAGAAGGGACATCAGTAAGGTTAATGCGATCCTAATTTAATGCCTTCGGAGGGTTGGAAGAAAGACACGACGGGGTAGAGTACGGAACAGCCGTATTCGAGAAGAGCTCAATATGCAGATGGTCGAGAGGATGATTGATTTTCTCAATTTTTCTATTCGAAAACTTCCTCAATAGCATTCTCAATGATTAAAACTGTCAAAACAAAAACTAACAAACCTCGTCATAATTCATGATGAACCAATCTAAAATTGCCAATATATCTGATAATTTTCTAGGAGCCTGGAATATTTATTTCCAGTATGCTTAACTCATTT